CCCAGCATCTTTCACTCAGGAAGACACCAGTGCTGCCAACGCGTGCCTCGTTGGTTGGCCACCTCTTCTCATCAACGATGAGCTGCGACTTTTCCTTGTCACTCCCAACAATGATCGATTCTGCTTCTGCAAGCCCAAGGAATTCAGCAAATGGTAAGAATACAGAGAAGTCCGCATTGCGGAGACGTTGGCTGATCTCGGCAATCCCCAACGTCTGCACTTGGGTCCGGACGCATTTGCTATCAAACTGATTTGCAATCCGCCTGTCATTTGGCTTAAGGCAGAAGACAAAATAAGGGTTCACATTTGACGCTGATAAGGATTTGGTTATATTGTCAAGAGAAGCGAGGAACTGGCCAGCTGCGCCCTGTTTTGGAGCACCAGCCACCGACCCTTTCTTACTGCTAGATCCGCCCTTCTTCGTACTGGTAGACGTACTAGCAAAGTCATCGGTGTCGTCAGCTTCGGACTGAGATCCAAAAGACGTAAACCTTGAAGGTCTGCTCATTTTCCGCCGTGCCATGCTCGGCATTCTCAATGGTTTCGAGCTGACTTGAGCTTGCATGATAGCATTCCTTTCCTTGGGATGGTGGATCGTTTGCAATGCTTCTTGACCGAACAGTTCCCGAACAAATCCACTCTTCGTAGAGCTAATGAGGTTAAGGAGGTCGCCAGATACCAGATCACCATTTTCTTCAATTAGGCCCTTAACGGGGTAATCAACTTCCCCTGCAAAATGCCTCACTGTGAATACAGCGGCAGCGTTTTGCGTAGCAAAGTTGCTGCCTGGGAGAATTGCGGTCGAGCTACCAACAGCTATAGCTGGGTTTTTATTCTCGAACCGTTTGCGAATACTCTCGAGGAACTGCAAGTCGGTTCGGGCGCGCTTGGTTTGATCGTCCAAAATGGAGAGGAGACCGTTGCCGTGTTTCAAAAGGCCCTTAACGGCATCGGAGTTGTCAAAATAGCTGGTTGCTGGGACGTTGACCTCTTCTGTTTCCAACATATCTGCCTGACGCTCAAAGAAGTTTTGCAAACAATAATGATAAAGGGACTCGGTAGCAGCATTGTTCAGCAATTGATCCAAGGTCGAATTTGTCGTAGACATCTGGGCAAAACCAGGGAAATCAACAACGGAAATGGTGTTAGCCACGGCATCCTCGGCAGCGCAGATCCGCTGATTGATGTTTTCAATCACATAGGCAACTAGAAGAGCATAGAGTGTTCTTGCAAACCCATCTGCGTTTGTTCGGGCGCCCTGGGGATCAAGCATAACGGTTACCCGTTCTTTATGGATTGTCTTCGTCTTATATCCCAAACTTGTTTCAAGTTCATCGACACTCAGACCAAGGAAGGCGGCAACAATACTTAGAACATCCTTGTTTTTGACGACGGTGATGGTCTCACCGCCCTCGTGCGAATATCCACCACTTTCATCCGCCCCTGTCCTCGTAGCCTGACCTGTGGTGAATTCAAGTTGTCCGATATGCAGGATACAAGCCAGGATTTGGCAAATTTCTGCGATCTCGCTTCGGGGGAATTCCAGTTTCCGCAATGCCGTCTTAAAGTGCTGGAATCCTTCCGCATCGTTGATTCCGACCTTTAATTGGGTCGGGTGGCCGAGATATCGCCAGCGCTTGTGTGACGCTTGGGATGAAGATCGCTTGGTTGGGCCACTCGAGATAACATCGCCTGAACTAGAAAGACCTAAATGTGTCTTTTCGGCCGGACTGGTCCCCGCCAGAAGGTAATACAAAACATGAAAACTTCGCTCTCCCGTAGGAACAGACGCTATTCTGCTCCGCTCCAGCCGGTGATCCAAAAGCTTCCCACCAATCAAAGTCGGATTTACGGTGGACGATGCATCATATTGTAGCTCGAAAAAGAGACCGGCTTTTGACGCAGTTGGCGTAGTAACGGTTTTTGTAGTTGTCAGTGTGTCAAAAACAAATGCCGCAAGGGACAACTTGGTAGATAGCGGGGTTGAGGTGAATGAGAGGAGCGAAGATAACAGGTGAGATCGAATAGTTGTTTTGCCTGAGCCAGATTCACCTCTGCGACAGATCAGCATCGCAAAAAAAAGTGTGTTAGAAAGAGGGAGAGAGAGGGATTCGACGTCGAGAATATGTTGCGAGCACCAACTAGGGATACATACAGGAAAACAACAGCTTGATTTTCCCCCCTTGACCCCAATCTTGTCCAGGCTCGCCTTGCCAAATCCTCCGCCTCCCCCATGGCGCTTCCTTCCTTGAGTCCATCAGGACCTTTTGTTGAGGATGTATACGTATTCAGGCATATCAGAGCATGCGAAGAAAGGCGAGCTGTGGGGAGGGAGACATGGAATCTAAGAGATAGATGATATAGGTCAGTAAAAATTTGAACGCACAACACAACTTTGAGAAACACGATATCATCTCTTACCGGCTGGCAAGGTGGGCCGTCAGTTGAGTGTCGGACTGCAGGTGATGGGGCAGCGAGGGGAGAGACGACTGGGCATGGGACGGGGCCGCCGCCATGGTAAACTACAACCGTGGTGCTCCGCGGATTTGGCACGAAGCTAGGAACAACAACGAAGAATAGGTCTGCTCAACCGCAAGAACGGCGAGATCGGGACGGAAATCTAAGCAAGAGCAATGGGTCCAGGCATGAATGACGGGAGGGCTGACGACAGGCGCAAACAAGAAAGTCACTGCAAGCGGAGCCAGAAGGGCCAGGGAAAAAGTGCCAAAAGAGAAAAGAAAAGAAAAGGGAAAAACAAGGATGAAAATGGGTAGATGTGAGAATTGAGTGACGGCTATCGAAAAGCAACCCTTGGAGAAAGTAGAACCACAAGAGGCCGTCGAGCGAGCGGTGGTGCTGCTGGGGACTTTTCGAGTTTGAACGGACAAAGCAGCGGGAGCGTTAACAGAAGCCACAGTAACGAGTGAATCAAACGATGGGAGGGTGGGTGTGCTCCGAAGGGAAAGGAAACGAGTGCCCTTCTGCAGAGAAAACCACGCCGGGGATTGCGATGTCGTTGGAATGGAATAGTCGTTGTCGTCGTCGATAACGTGGAGGACAAAACTGGTAAGATGTAAACTCGCCTTTGAAACCGGTATCGATACCACATACCAGAAAGTACGGTGTCTTGAAATTTACGTTTATAACTTGGATCTACGGCGATTCCATTGGCCAGGCTACGCGACCGTCTTTGGAAACAAGGTTACGCTAGTACCGTACCACTCGTTCGAGTCGTCATTACGGTTCGGGGAAGGAGGAAAAGAAAAGGACATGAGTTAATCGAGAGAAAGCGGAGCCGCGATCGACCCATTACATTAGCTGGGAGGGTCGAGCAGACAGAGGAAGACAGCCAGTGCAAAGAAAAAAAAAAAAAAAAGCTTGCAGCAGATTCTCTCTTGGTGGTGAGCAGCACCTGATCTGCCCTAGAGAGACCATTTCTTTTTTTTTTTTTCTCTTTTTTTAATTTTTTCCCTTTTACCCCCCCCAGCGCCGCGGTTTGAGGTGCTGGCATTGGCCCGGCACCAGCTGGCACCAACCAACAAGGGCACACAGGCACAGCCAGCCAATTGACTCTGCGCTCGCCACCAGAAACCGCCTGCTGGTCCGTGCACGCCATTCCGGACCCTTACTTTCCGCTTCGGGAATAGTGCCGGGATTTGGACCAAGACCACCAATCACAGCCCCCGCATTTGCTGATGTCAGCGGCCTCTTCCCACGCCGTTCACGTGATCCCCCCTTTCCCCCTTTTTGTTGTATTTTGGTATTTTGGTTCTTTGTTTCTCCCCCGGCGAGATCAACTTTGCGGATCGAAATTAGCCAGGGAGGCGTTTCATCGTCCCAGATCATCCCAGGATCGAGCCTGAAGAACCCGTGCTTCCCTGCACAGGAGAACTATGAAAATTTTTACAGCTTATAAACGAATGACCGTGAATTTCTTTCCAGCGAGGCGAGGGTTGGGAGGGTTTGTGAGACATTGAGGGTTGAGATGGTGGGATGGGTTTCCCCGAGGAGCCACCCAAGGTCTGTGGAGCTCGCAGCCAACTGAAACATAAGACTTTCATGTGCCCACTCGATCCGGTTTTGCAGAGACGAAGAGCATGCGGGCTTGACCGATTTTCTCTGGTTTTCCCGCCACAACCCTTTTGTTGTTATATTTGGACACACCTTTTTCAGAGATCTTGGCGGCTCAGCCTCGCTTGCGGTCCACGGAGTCGACGAATTCTTCAGGATTTCCCGCCGCTGTCAAGTGACGGGTCTCGACGTTGAATCCCAACTGACTCGCATCAGCCATATCATCATCCTCCTCTGTGATTCATTGTGGTCAAGAAAAAGAAAAAAAAGGAAAAAAAAAAGAAAAAAGCCCATCGACCGCTCCGATTAGGATTTCAGGCACCTGGTATTTTGGCTTATGTAACTATATGTACTGTAACTGTTCGTATGTGTAAATACGTGACCTGCATGCCGTAACGCAACAAGTACCAGAAGTGAGACAGGCCTGACAGGCTTCTCGACGAGCAAAGGATCACCGTCAAGAGCAACATCAGCAACCTTCGCTGCCCTGTCTGGCCATCCTGAATCTTCCTGTCTTTCGTTTATTCCTTGCTGCTTACCTCACTTGCTTTGCTTCGTTGAGTAGAGCGAGGGAGACCCTGAGGCTTTTTTTTTTCTTCCCCCGGTTTGTCTTTCGGCTTCATATCACCTTCGTTTTTTTTTGTCTACGTCGTTGTAGAGCAGTCGAGATATGCCCTGGCTGCCCGCAAAGAAGATCTATCACCCATAGATCTCGGAAAAGTATCTACCGCAGACCTTGCACCGACATCACCCTTCTCTATCCAGTGGCCGGTTGCGGAAACGCAACTTCCAAACCTCCCCCCCAAAAAAAGGGACAATCGTGCCACCCGTTTGATATTCAACCGTCATCGTTATCTGAAAGGAAGACCGCCCGTTTCGTACCAACCGAACCCGAGTCGCCCGCCAGCTAACGGCCTGGCTCGATAACCATGGCGAACCGCATGTCAGTATATTCTACCTCATCGTCCGGTCCAGGGCCCCGCCCCGCCGGACAGCAAGCATCACAGGTCTCGACCACCACGCTGCTCAACGCCCTTCATACCTGCTATCTCTCCGGACAACCTTATCAGCTTGACTCTGCAACGAGCATAGTCGTGAACACCGCTTTAACAGCTACTACGCCAGGGCACAATGGCGAGCTGGGCGGCACTATAGATCTTAACGTAGCACGGAGAGCGTGGGAGCATGCCCGACGGAGAGCAGAGGATGGGTGTATTGTATTATGGTTTGTCTTGACATATTCCTATAGTTTCGCCCCAAACAGCTAACAACTCTGTATTTAGCTCGTCGCATCAAAATACACCCTCCCTCCTTCCAGCCTTTTTGGCATCCTTGCCATTACCCACACCGGAGATAGCCTATACAGCCCTAGCCGCAATTCGACCCTTCGTTTCTCAAGTCACCCCGTTCAACCCCGCCCGCTTGCTCTACTCTTCCTTTGCCGTGACTTACACGTTCGCCCTGACAGGAAGAGTCACTGATGTAAACTTAGCACTGTCGACATCTGGTGTCAACATCACCGATGGGCTCGCGAGGATTCCATCCGAACCTGGCTATCGTGCATTTGATGTCTTTTACTACCTCCTCTCCTCGGCATCGACACCGGCAGAAAGAGAGTTCCTCGGCCTGAAAAAACCAGAGGCGTATTCCTTTCTTAACAGGTCTCAAACTTACGATCCACCATCCTACCTCCCTACAACCGACGATGGCGCCGCCGCAGAGGATTTCCGAGCCAATCTCAAAGCTATCGGCATCAAAGGAGCGGCCCATCGCAGCTTGCTCTCAGTCCTAGCCGGTTTGCTTAAATTGGGCAACACCGCGGGGTTCCTCGTCGAAGAAGACGAATTGGAAGACCTCTGCGAGGACATCGGGGGCCTTCTCAATGTCGATCCTATCGTTCTTCTAAAAAACTGCTCGACAGAAGACCGAGAGTCGCTCGTCTTGGGTTTATACGAGACCCTCCTTGACTGGGTCATTTCGAAAGCGAACGAAGCCATTCGCCTGGAGTTACATGCCTCGCATGATAATGGTTCGAGCGATGGCAGACCCAGTGCTCGAACACCTCTAAGTGAAGAAGAAAGTGGAGATACGGTTAGCATCACTGTTGTGGATATCCCGGACGAGGCACTAGGAAAAGCTGTCGCTCTGCGGGGCGTATTTGATGATTCTCTCGGCATAAATGCTGAAATGAAAGAGGATGGAATCAACATGGTTAACCCAGGTCATGCTATCGTTAAGGAAATGGAAAATGCCGTAGCTGAGGTGGAACCTGAGCTGGGTATCATGGGTGGCAATGCTGGTCGCCTACGAGAACGGGAACGAGACAAAATACAAGGAGTGCTTGAGAAAGTTGGAGTCGAATTAGAATCCGGGGCTTTCCTGAAAAAGGTGCTATATCCTGACGAAGGAAGAGATCTGAACTTTGGCAGAAGGGGACGCTTCGACCTCAATGCTACTCTTGGTAGCAGCAGGGTCTGGTATCACCTCTCAATGCACCCGGTCGATGACCACCCGGCAGCAATCGCATCTCTACCCTCGGTCAGCTCGGCGTGGTCAGCAGGGACAGTTTCGCGTCAACTACGTGCTTGGAGACTTGCTGAATGGGCCAATCGCCGCAACAAACATCTCGACTTCACCGCCGACTTTGACGTTGACGAATTCGTTAGTCGATATGCTCTTCTTGGCTGCCACGAAGGCAAAGATGGCGTGGAAAATTGGATCATTGAACGAGGCTGGAGTAACGGTGACGTTGTAGTCGCAAGGGAGAGAATCTGGATGCGTGAAGGGGCTTGGTGGGAGGCAGAATCGATGCTCGACTTGAAAATTCCAACGGCACCTGTAAATCCCTTCGCCACCCCGGCGGCTACTACTCCCTTCGATGGAACCTACGGAGCTCCGTCACCAGCGACGGCAAGTGGATTCTTCCCCCCGGATAACATGAGCACTTTAGGCAGCCGAGAGAACCTCGTGAATCGCCAATCACAAATGCCAAGAGCACCTAGCGCCCTTGGAGGAACTCGCTCCATTGCGCCTACTACCGTATCTCAGCCTGTTCAGGTTTCGTCTGGAGACTACGGCCTTGGACCCAAGGGTGACGACCGACAACATGAAAACGTTTATTACGATCAAGACCTTGGTAAATGGACCGCTTTCGATCCCGAGTTTGGAGACCCGAAAAAGATCGAGGAGAAGAAAATACCAACCAGCCGCCGCGTTTGGTCTGCTTTTGTATGGGCTGTCACATTTTGGATTCCATCATTTGTTCTTCGTTTCGTGGGTCGGATGAAGCGCCCAGACGTTCGAATGGCCTGGCGTGAAAAAGTGACTCTCATCCTCCTTATTTTCCTTCTCAACGCTTCAATTGTATTCTACATCGTCTTCCTCGGTGACCTACTCTGTCCGAACAAAGACAAAGTCTGGACGGATAAAGAGGTTAGCTATCATCAGGGCGAAAATGATTTCTATGTCAGCGTCCACGGGAAGGTCTACGATATAAGCAAGTTTTGGAAGATTACTCACACCACTAACCGATATCCCACAACAAAAGATCAGATGATACATTTTGCTGGGAAGAATATGGACGCGTATTTCCCGTTGCCCCTTTCTTACGCTTGTCCTGGATTTGATATTGGCAAGCAAATTGAATTGCAACACAATGACACGAGTGCTGTTGAATTCCCACAGGCTGTCCATAAGGCTGGTCCCGAATTCCAACCCGATCCTACTCTTGCACTGAGAAGAATTGATTGGTATGCAAGGACCTTTTTGCCCAGAATGAAGGAGTATTACAAAGGAGATCTGGTGCATTCGAGGAAGTCCTTACCCCAGGAAGCCGAAGAGCGCTCTAGGCAATGGGCATCCATCAATGGAAGAGTTTACGACTTGACCGACTACTTTTATACCGTTGGAGTGCAGAACAACCTGAAACAATACGACTTCCTTCCTCGAGCCGTAACCGACCTGTTTAAAAATAATGCTGGTGCCGACATTACGGAACAATGGCGAGACACAGATGACTTCCGAAAGAGTATGACTTGTCTTAACAACCAATTTTACGTTGGCATATTAGATTTCAGAGAAACACCCCGATGTGAGGTCAACAACTACATTCTTCTGGCGTTCACCATTATTCTTTGTTCCGTTATTCTCATCAAGTTCCTTGCGGCTCTCCAGCTGGGAACCAAACGGCGACCCTCACCTCAGGATAAATTCGTCATCTGCCTTGTGCCGGCGTATACAGAAGGTGAGGATCAGCTTCGCAAGGGACTTGATTCGCTTACAGCACTGCAATATGACAACAAACGAAAACTCATCTGTGTCGTCTGCGATGGTATGATTGTTGGTGGAGGTAACGACAGGCCTACGCCGAAGATTGTGCTGGACATTTTGGGCGTTGACCCAAAGATTGATCCGCCAGCCCTTCCGTTCAAGTCAGTTGGCGTTGGAAGCGAACAGCTTAACTATGGCAAGGTCTACTCCGGCCTTTACGAATATGAAGGAAATGTTGTTCCATACATTGTCGTCGTCAAAGTCGGAAAGCAATCCGAACAGGGCAAGTCGAAGCCAGGAAACCGTGGAAAGCGTGATTCGCAGGTTATGCTTCTTAATTTCTTGAACCGCGTGCACCATCGCTCGCTCATGTCTCCACTGGAACTGGAAATGTTCCATCAAATCAACAACGTAATTGGTGTCGACCCAGAACTTTACGAATACGTGTTCATGGTCGACGCCGACACTAGTGTTAGAGAGGACTCGCTGAATCGTCTTGTTGCGAGCTGCGCGAACGACGCCAAAATTGCTGGTATTTGTGGTGAGACGAGCTTGCAAAATGAAGAGCGTTCTTGGTGGACCATGATTCAGGTCTATGAATATTACATCTCTCATCATTTGGCAAAATCTTTCGAATCGCTCTTTGGTAGTGTGACCTGTCTTCCAGGGTGGTAAGTTGTCTTTTCCCCTTTTTGATGTACGTCCTTGAGTACCACGCTAATTCTTCGCACAGCTTCTGCATGTATCGACTCCGGACAGCAGACAAGGGCCGACCACTGATTATATCCGACAAGGTTATCGCCGAATATGCTGACGGTGATGTTGATACACTGCACAAGAAGAACCTTTTATCCTTGGGAGAAGATCGATACCTCACGACATTGATGACCAAGCATTTCCCAAGTATGTCGTACAAGTTCATCCCCGACGCATACGCCAGCACAGCTGCACCGGAAACCTGGAGCGTTTTGCTTTCACAAAGACGGCGTTGGATCAATTCCACGATCCACAATCTGGCAGAATTAATGTTCCTCAAGGACTTGTGCGGCTTCTGTTGCTTTAGCATGCGTTTTATTGTGTTCATCGACCTGTTTGGTACGATCATCCTCCCGGCGACAACAGTATACTTGGGATATCTCATCTATCGTGTGGCAAGTGGCACGGGTCAATTCCCTGTGATCTCAATCGCGATCCTCGCAGCCGTCTACGGTTTACAGGCCATCATTTTCATTATCAAACGTCAATGGCAACACATTGGATGGATGATCATCTACATCATGGCCTACCCAATTTACAGTTTTATCCTCCCCATTTATTCGTTCTGGAACCAAGACAATTTCTCATGGGGTAATACCCGTATTGTCCTCGGCGAAAAGGGTGATAAGCGAGTCGTTGCGGTGGATGACGAAGGATTTGATCCTCGAAGCATTCCTCTTCAACGCTGGGACGACTATGCTCTCATGAACAATCTTCCTGGTCGCCGAGGTAATTCCATGGGCCAGGAAAAGCCTCATCAGCAATATTACGATGACGGAGGGCTCGAGATGGACGATATGCATTCGGTTTACTCGTCAGTGAAGCCAGCATCTACGATTCTAACCGGATTCCCTAATCAGGGCATGCACCACACACCCTATGTCCTCCCGCACTCTACAAATCCTTTGGCTGTTCCGGGCAACAGAAACTCCCATATGACGCAGTTCACTCAATACACTGATAATCCCCAGGCTCGCAATTCCCGCCACATGTCGATTGGAAATCTAAGCCATTATCAAGATAATCCTGCCAATGCCAGCCGTCTCAGTGGAGTTGGAATGCTTACTCCCGACAGCCATCCAGGAGTCTCTCAGCGACAGAGTATGCGCAGTCCCCTATCACGGCCAGCCAGCACCATGATCGATTTCAGAAATCCACCAAATCAGGGACCGGACGAGACTGCTATTACAGCTGCTATCCGGTCTTGTCTTGCGGAGGTGGATTTGGACAGTGTGACCAAGAAACAAGGTTCGTACATTTGATATTGACCACACTGACCATTAAATATGCTAACGATCATGTAGTCCGAGCGCTTGTTGAGCAAAGGTTGCAGACAACATTGACGGGCGACAAAAAAGCCTTCCTTGATCGCCAAATCGACCACGAATTGGCAAATATGTAAAATCCTTTGTGCTAATCAAGCACCGCTTGCCCACTCTCGGAACACACACCTGTTTCATACTAACCTTGCAACTTGATTTTGATAATCCTGGTCGGGGACCGGACTAATCTATGCATGATTTTTTTTTAATAATGTTGCCTTTTTATGCATTCTCTTTTGAATAAACAACTACTAATTCCAACTGATTTTATGTCCTTGCTGCATTTCTCACTTGGGAAAAAAAACCAAAAGATGAACTGACATGCCATGAATTTGGTAATATACACGTGTCTTAATAATACTTTCCTACAACATACTTTTGTGGACTCCCATCTAATTCCCCTTTATTTTAATTGTCCTACCTCATCTCATGCCTCTTGTCTTGCGTGTATTTGTGGGTTTTAGCTTTCTCTCGGTGTTATCCCATGGATTGTTTGGAAAATGGAGAATCTAAGTCGTTTCTGCTGCTCTGTCTCTCCTTTGAATGTTTCTCCTTTGCTTGAAAGTACTCATCTGTTCTGAGCGCTGATAAACATTATGTTCAGTATATAATCCCGCTAAGCTTTTGTATTTACATCATCACTACCCAACTCTAATAAAGGGAGCATGGACGAACAAACTTGATCAGCATCTGGCAATGACTGTTTCCAAATGCTGTATGCCAACATTAACATCTCCAAGAATCCAACCTTGTCAACACAAAACAGGTCCAAGAGCAATATATCAATACAATGGACCCCACAGCAAAGGAAATTAGAAAGCTAAATGACAGCCACTACCACTATATGCTGGCTTCTCTGACAATGTTCCTGGGTTTCCTCAAAACCCACCAACACCCCTGACCCTCTTGATCGCCCCCACGATCCCTCTCATCCAGCTAAACCTCCCGGGATCGGTCCCGATCGAGCCAACCGCTATCTCTCCGGTTTCTGGGTCATGCCAGCATCCATCTACCTTGCTCACGGCTCCATAAGTCGCAGTGTTTTGATTTCTGCACAGGGCATCCAGCCAGGACCGGCAGATCAGAGGAGAGTCAAGAAGGACGTTGGTTTCTTGGCTGTGGAAGAATGATTGCGTGTCGAGATTTGCGCTGCCTGTAAGAAATTACATACTAGTTCGAAAGGTTTAAAGCAAGAGTGGGAGAGAAAAAATGAGTTGGGGATCTCGAACCTTGAATAGCAACTTTTTCATCAATGATCATAAGCTTGATATGGCAGCTCCGCTTCTTGAACTTGTTGTGGATAGGCCTGGTCTGGTCTTTGCCTACATAATTATAGATACGTAGTCTAGATTTATCCTCGTTTGTGGATAGTGAATTATAAAGACGATTGCACGTCATTTCATTGATTCCATTTTGGAAGGGGAGCAATTGACCTGCATCGTTGTATCCCAAACAAAGGAAGCACGTTACTATGACGCCGCGCCGGACTGCATCGAGAAGTGGTGCAAGCAAACGCTCCGCATTGAGGTTTGGGGTCTGGATGAAAACGGAATGCTCGGCATTTCCGATTGCGGCTAGGAAAGCAGCATTCTGGGGAGTGTATATACTAGAATGATTCAATGCTGCAGGAGGTAAGTGATCTAATGGCGGCAGTTGGGTGAAATATGGATAGAGGCTAACCCACCTCCCCAAGGTTCCCGGTTCACCATGGCCATTGGGAACGGTTCATGAGGCGGATGTAATATGTATGGTGTCATTTGATCCTCTTCATCCCATTCAGGGGCGTCACCAGTAATGCCTGGTCTCGAAACAATATCTAAGCAACAATTAATAACTGTGAAAGGTCGTTGTGGAAGTACGTACTCAGATGTCGAGTCACGCAATCTCGCCTAGTTTCCTCTGGGCGTGGTGTGAGTGATGCTGTTATCCTGGCAGTCTCAGCAACAATATCTGTATCGTAATGCGGCTCATCGGGGGTGTGTTCGGGTAGAAGCTTGTCTTCAGGCTTTTCCGCATAAATTGTGCTTTAAGCTACTGTTAGATCTGGATTTGGGCATTTGAAAGGGTATCGTACGCGGGATCTCCTTGGCTACTCCATACACTATCATTTCGGCCGTGATTTGTAAAGAGAAATGGATAACTCGGAGGTGCCATAGATGCAGCTGGAGTATCAATAAGGGGCAAAGGAGGATTCAGAGCAACACTCCACGAAATGAGAGCCATATCGTAAAACGAGTCAACGATCGGGCCCTCGAAGCGGACCATCATTTCAAGATTATCGTTATCCTATATTTCGTTAGTATTTCAACTATGATGATGTGTGCGACCTTGTTGTGTGTATTGCGAACTTGAATATTGTTGCTCTCAAGAAGGGCGACCTTTCTGTCAACAATCATAAATTTGGAGTGCAGAGTGCCGGCGACAGGACGGTGGTAATTTAGAACTTGAAGATCAATGTTCGGAATCTCTTGCGGTCCAGGAAGCTGTATTTTGGAGCTCACAACCTGCTTCGCGCAAACCGGTTGACGATTGTTCAAAAACTACAGTATCTGTAATTAAAACCAAGCCCGACAAGGTCGCCTGGTGCTTGCCGACAGCATACCTGCTTCAAGTTGCCACGATCATACATCATCTTGATCACCACCTTCGTCCCTCGTAGACCAGCACGATGAGACAACTCCCTCATTGCATTGGTCAGGAATCGCGAATTGTCTGAATATATCCAATAACTGGTCATCAGAATGACTTCTTTTTCAGCACGCACAATGCAATTGGACATATGACGGCAAATATCGGGCAATGGTCCGATAATAGTCATGGGCACGACGCCGCAGCTGCCCATCAGCGACGGAGATACGAGACCAGACATTAGGTCTTTTGCAAGGGAGCACAAAGCATCTTGGTATATCTGCCCATTATCTTAGCCGCGCACAGTTTCCACGACAACCAAAAAGGGCGCACTTTAAGGAAAAGGTCACTTGGGCGCTGAGAGCCCCATTTCCCGCATTGAAACGCAACTTCTAAGTCTTTAGAGTCTGGAACAGGTAGTTTTTCGGACCTAGGCTCCCCGGGGGACTGGCCGTCCGCCCTTTCAAGGAACCTAGCAACTACATCGCGAGGAGTTGCTTCTGGATCCTTTGCCAGTTCCGAGCTGACGCTGATTTTGTTCTGGCATAGAGCACATATCCACTTAGGTATCATTGAGCACCGGGTTCTGTTTGGGCTGGTTGGCCGATATGAAAGTAGGGCCAGGACCAAAAAAAGGAGCGCAGGCGATATCCGAACACATACGTTTATCAGCAGCCGGGCAAGGTTTCCTAGGAAGAGTCGTTTCAAAAGGCACAAATAACCAGAGGAGACAGAGGCCATTTCCACACCATTTAAAATCAGTAAGCGTTGGAGGCAGGCTCGGCAATAAAAGAAGTTTTCTCTACCAAGCTATAGAATGACGAAATCACCCTCTTTGGTGGCGGGAAGGTGGGATATCCGGGAACCACAACAACAAGGGATGACATTGTCAAGCGTGTACTGCACACACGTAACCACACCCATACAGCGCTGAGTACAGATATTGTCCCAGATCTACCGCAGAAAATGCGAAATCCAGATCTGTCCCGAAAGATCGCCGAGTCAACAAGAGTTCTCGCGGTCGATGCTGAAGCTTCAAAAGCCACCTTGTCATTACGTCATCACCTCCAGAAGCGCCCAGCCAGCCGCTCCTAGACCTAAAGAGGACTAGCGTTTAGCGGCGGACGGCGCCAGCCGTTGGAATACCGACCAGCAAATCCGCTGATAAGTTGACCAATCTAAACCAACAAAAACGAGCTTTGATGTCGTCAAGCAGCTGCAGATGCTAACAAGCTTAATGGATTTAGGGTAGTTTAAAAGATCGTAAGAATGCACTGAGCGTCGACTTGTACTGGCATCGTTGTTATTCCTCTCAGTATTCCCAGAGGATCTCCTTTGACTTGGGCAACAAAGCAAGACTTTATGTCCATGCATTTACTCCGTAATGCTGCGTTGGATTTATCTGCGTACGTATTGAAAACAGCCGAATTTCCACGGACGCAAAGAACAGTTTTGGGAAGTAGGATGTTTCACAATCCTGGTCGACCGCTTCGGAAATATCTGCGTTGAAATGAAGGGTTTCGCCGGCCCATCAACAGTAGCAGGGAGATTGAGAGAGCGCTTTTCTGACACCACAGAGGACTCGTTATGATCTTGATATGAGCAGATCGTCCGATGTCCCCGTAACACCCTCCTCTCCCATTGCTGAAACGCGGGTGTTTCTCCTGAGACGCGGAAGAACACTATGTACTCCGGGACTCCGGGACTGCTCGGCCGAGGCCCAAAGAGGGCTTAGCGACCCAAGCTGATGGGAACTTCCCCGCAAGGCCCCTCACGCACGCGCGTGATTGGCCGAATGCAGCTGTCAGAGGAAGTCAATCCTATCAAAGAATGGAATAAATTCCGAGTTCATATTTTTATCTTCGTTGTCACTTTCTCGCGGGGTGGCTTCACTCTTCTGAAGCTTCAAAGTGAGCTTTCCAGCCAGAATTCCTCACTGGTGCTTCACTTTCCCAAACATCCTCGCGCGCTAGCGGCTATTCCCCACACATTCTCTCAGGGCCCCTCGCATATAAAATCCACTGTTTTGCATTCCTTTCCTCTTCAACCCTCCATCAACTTCATTCCTTTTCTTTTTCTTTTTCATTTTTTTTTTTTTTTGCTCAACTTGCTCGATACTCTTCACGAACATCTACTTTTGATAAGCATTCTTCTCGAATAAATACTTCACCCCTCAAAAGTGTGCCAACATGTGAGTGGAGATCCTTGATCCCTGACTTCCATGTGGCTTGCGGCTAATGCAATGTTTCTCTAGGGGCTACACTGCGTCAGACGCCCTTCTAGAGGCGCTTTGGGATGTTTGTGCCCATCCCCCTTCTCTCAAGAGTGTTTTCTGTTAACATGTTCACAACCAGGCTGGTATTCGATACATTTTTGCAAATTTGGGCTCTGACCACCCAGCAATTCTCGAGGCTTTCATCAAGGCTCAGCATGAGAAGAATGGCCAGGTCCCCAAGATCATCACCTGTCCCAACGAGGTACGTCCTACCCAGCTGTCCCTTGTCCTACGTCGCTTCTGCGCGACAATCCAACCGCCGTCAAACGCGTCCTGCTCGGTGCCGCTTCCGCCCTTCCCCGCATCACGTGCCTGGCTGACCCCCACCATTTCCCCACACGCAGATGGTCGCGCTCTCCATGGCCGACGGATATGCTCGTCTTTCCAACAAGCCGCAGTGCGTCCTCATTCACACCGACGTCGGTACCCAAGCTCTGGCTGCTGCCGTGCACAATGCTTCGTGCGGTCGCGCCCCCGTGCTCATCATCGCGGGGCTCTCCCCCTTCACCATGGAAGGAGAAATGCGCGGATCTCGCACCGAGTATATCCACTGGATCCAAGATGTTCCCGATCAAAAGCAGATAGTGTCCCAGTATTGTCGCTACTCCGCCGAGATCAAAACTGGAAAAAACATCAAGCAGGTTGTCAATCGTGCTCTTCAGTTCGCCACCAGCGATCCAACCGGCCCTTCCTACCTAGTTGCTGCAAGAGAGGTTCTAGAAGAGGAGATTGAGCCTTACAAGATCGAACAGAAACAGTGGGGTGCAGTTCGCGCTGCTGCTCTCCCCCAGGAAGCTGTCGCAACTATCGCTACAGAGTTAGCTTCTGCCAAAGAGCCGCTTATCATCGTTGGATACACTGGTCGCTATGAGCAGGCCGTCACACAGCTTGTCCAGCTTGCAGACAACATCAAGGGTGTTCGCGTTCTCGAGACCGGGGGTAGCGATATGTGCTTCCCTGCCAATCACCCAAGTGCACTCGGACTGCGCCATGGCGTCCATGATGCAATTAAGACCGCGGATGTCATCCTGGTTGTCGACTGTGATGTCCCCTGGATCCCAACTCAAGTCAAGCCAACACCATCTGCCAAGATTTTCCACGTCGATGTCGATCCGCTCAAGCAACAGATGCCGTTGTTCTACCTTAAGGCATCGGAAACGTACCGCGCAGACGCAACCACGGCCTTCAAGCAGTTGAATGAATACATCTCTGGCAGTAAGAAGTTGACTGAATTGTTGTCTGCCGAAGAGTATACACTTCGTCGCGTCGCGATCGAAGCCTCACACAAGAAGCGCATCGAACTACTCGCTGAACAAGCCGCTAAACCTCAAGGAATCTACTCGCCACTCAACCCGGCCTTCCTTTTCTCAGAGCTTCGTAAGGCGTGTCCTCCAGATACCATCTGGGCCATGGAAGCCGTTACCCTTGCTGCAATGGCGAACGATCACATCCAAGCGTCTCTTCCCAAGTCCTGGATCAACTGCGGAGGCGGTGGTCTCGGTTGGTCTGGTGGTGGTGCACTCGGCGTCAAACTCGCATCCGATGACCAGCATGGTGGCCCTGGAAAGGGTAAATTCGTCTGCCACATTGCTGGAGATGGCGCGTATCTATTCACCGTTCCCAGTTCTGTCTACTGGATTGCGCGTCGATACAACATCCCCATTTTGACCATCGTTTTGAATAACAAGGGCTGGAACGCGCCTCGTCATAGTTTGCTACTCGTCCATCCGAACGAAGGAGGTGCTCGTGTGACCAATGAAGAATTGAACATTTCCTTTGCACCAACCCCTGACTATGCAGGTATTGCCAAGGCGGCTGCCGGGGGTGAGCTCTGGGCCGGACGTGCTGGGACAGTTGAAGAACTCGCGAAGGCTTTGCCCGAGGCAATCAAAAGTGTTTTGAATGGCAAGGGCGCCGTTCTGGAAGCTCAGTTGAATGGAAAGGAAGGAAAATACACTGGATCTTCCGATGCGACCCCCGTCCCCAACTAACTAGATAGCAATGTTTTGAAAAAACAAAAAAAGAACCAACGACTAGGATAGACGGCGACTAGCCATGTCTATTAGCAAAATAGAAATTTGTTTATGCTAAACACCAGGCTCCCAAACTCTCCTAGAACTTGTAGCCATTCCATTCACGATTCATCATTTGCTCTATGACCGGAATAAATAGTACCCAATTACTCTCCTAAACCATGGACAAACCTTTTCCAATTATCACCTAATCTCTTCACTCCCTCCTCTAGCTCCCAGTTGCGAATCTCGCATACTTTTCTCACAATCACCTCTAACATATCATCCATTTCCTTTCCCGCACAGTGCAAATCACTTTCCACCAAAATCCTATCATCAGGAATTTCCTTGATCACCTCCACGGCCTTCGACACCGGCCCATTCGAGAAATTAATAGCACTCGAAAATGAAAAGTAAACATCCGCAGGATTTGACGGATGCAGGAACTGCTTCAATGGCTCCACTGGACCAGAATACGAATGCATACATATCCTCGGGGGGAACGGGCGAGCCGTGTGGGGTTCCCGACCCCAGCTCTTGTCAAGCTCTTCTTCACTCTCTTCGCCATGAGCCCCGGCCGCGCTACCTCGCCTTTTCCGCTGTCGTTTAGACAGAGCTGGCTTCTCGTAACCCCTGAAAAGTTCGCGGATGACTTCCACGACTGCACCATGTGCCTGGACGCTATGGATGGAGGCTGGCCGTTGTAGCTCGCCGGCTAGTTGTAGCTGGGCTTTCAGGATGGCTTTTTGGTGGGCTAGCTGCACGCGATACGGTGACAAGGTTCTTCCCTCTCGCGAGCCGGGGGTGCGTGAGGAGTCTCGATTCTCAACCTCGTGTGGGAACCAGGCGTTTGGAAGGCGGAATGAGCGGTCGAGGCCAATTTCGCCAACCAGTGCGTAGGGATATGTGAGCAGGTGCTGTTTGGTCTCTTGGATGAAAGTTGAGAGTGCACGAGGGGTGGGAAGGTCGTCAAGCAGGTGGTTATCTTGGATCGATGGGGTTAAAACGGATTTGTAGTGTTCATGTTTATCTACATCCGTCTTATTCGAATCGTCGAAGATTTGGTGGGAGAACCACGGGTGCCAGCCGAAGCAGGGAATGACTTTTCTTTCGGGGCATGTTTCTCCTAATGAGGTGTCTAAGTTAGCGAATCTAGAGGCGACTTCGGCAATCAGATGCTGATCTTGTGCTCTGGTTGCCATTATAGCGAGTGTCCTGGCTTTCATTGAAGGAATATCGTCGATTGAAGACATTGTATCCGTGGGATGGCAGTGGGCGTCGAATACGCCCAGCTCCCAGGGAATGGGGGAGGTTCTATCAACGCTGTCTATGTCCATTGTCGTCAATCAATTTTTAGCAATCTCTATCTTAAACGGTCCCATTGCACGAAGACACAAGAAACAATGCGATGCTGCGTCGCCCGGCCAGTGCGCGTGCCTAAACCCTTGCGGTGACGTTACGCGGGGTTGTCGGACCAACTAGGACGAGGTGGCCACAGAGTTAATCCCGGCGACGCGGGGAAGCACCACGACACAAATACAGCCAACCACCCCAAGACAAGCACTGTGGTTGAAGTCATCCCCATTTCAGACCAGCACTCATCGATGAGGAAGCTCTAGGAGGTTTGGACAAGGCACTCTTCCATGCCTAGCATCAGGCTGTCGTATCTCTTCTTTCCATTCGTTTTCCTGGCCGCAATCCCCATCATTATCCTGACCACTACGATATTTGCCTGCGCCTGCGTCTATGTCTGCGCATATGTTCTGCTTGGATATATATTTGATTCGATTTTTTACAGTGATTCAGGGTTTGTAGGTAAATTTCTGACAGCCCTGCTTCCAAACCAACCGATTCCAACGGGGCCCCCTCCTCCGATACCCAGCCAGTTCCAGAGGTTGGATGTCCACCACCCATGGCCCTCCTCGAATCCGGGCACAATTACACCACGATCTGGACGCCATTCCCGTCGACCTTCAGCCTCATCTGAAACAGCCACTTTTGCGGATGGACGGAAGCGATCCGTTCCCGGATTCCCGTACCCTCCGCAGTCAGCCCAAATCTCTCCAAAAGCTCATAAATCCGTCCCAATGCGCCATGGCACTCTAGTTTCCGCCCAGCGCGAGGATAGAGGAGACTGGGAAGATGTTAACGATGAGCATGAAGACGACGACAACAACAATACTGCAGGCTATGAGGACCGATGTTCTGAATTTCTTGCTTCTGTGGGACGACATCAGGGCCCTAAAACCGAGATATCAGCCGAGCCCAAGTCAAACTTCTTTGTGGGGCAGTATGATGGGGACGTCAATGGTGTCCTCCCTACCGGGCCACGTCTGCATTTTGATATACCACCACATCCTAGGAGGAGCTCCAATGGCGGAAAGGATCCTGGGTCTTCGGAAGTCACGCAATATTAATGGATTCGCCTATGGTTTTCCTGATGAGGTAGGGCATTGGCTTTCAAAAAAAAAAGAAAAAAAAAAACCTATATTGTGGTTCTCGTAAGTTTACTGATCCCTTTGTTTGGATTGTAAAGTCAACGTGTCTCTCTTGATCTTCTCCATCTCTCTAGGGTTGTCTGGAGATATTAACCTCTATTGTTTTCCAGTAAATTGCCAGAATGCTTTGAAAGTTATGATGGCTTTTTCGAAGAAAGGATGACCAAGAAAAGTGTTTTCCCTTCACAAAATGTGAGCTGGATGTAGCACTAGATTATATATATAGCTTCCGTCAAAAATAGGGGTTAGGAAAGAAAAGAAACCGCACTTTCTAGCATGATTTGCTCATGGATCTCGCTAAAATAAAATTCCTTCTGCGGTTGTATTATATGGTTAGGATCTTGCCCTTTTCAACCGGCATCATTGCAAGAGCCATCGCTCTCAGAATCAAATGCTTTATGACTTGACTTGCCTCAGTAATTTAGAAAGGTCGCGCTTGGGGAAGTGTACCTGCGTCCCCGCCGCGTTGACCGCCACCTTCTCCAAGCTTTCATCGTTGGGATACGCAATAAATGGTACAGTCGCAAGGAACCATTGTGTCCTCTCCATATATGTCGTATTAGGATCCTTGACCTGCGTTGCAACATACACATGCGCTGGCTTAGGAGATTCTTGCTCTATAGTGAATGCCTAGTCATCTATGTCCTGTTTTGTGAACATGGGACCCTCTGTAGCGGCAAAGCTTGAGATGATTCCCTTCGAGTTCAGTGCCGTCCATGGCAGGTAGTAACTGCAATTCTTCGTAATTTCAAGGTGAGTTCGAGTCTAGTTGGGTCATGTCGAGGAGGCGGGAGCCTTGCAAATACAAGCCCTTCAATCTTCGCTTGGTAGTTTCGTAAGAAGTTGGGTAGGTCTGAGATCCAAGTCAAACGAGGAGTAGGTATGAAGGTTGTAAATATTGGATTGTGGTCACTATTCGGCATAGTACGGACGGTATACTAGAAGCCATTTCCCTGCTACGCTATGTCCGTGGAAGCACGAGGTTACGCCATTAACGCAGCTAGCTCCTAGGGGCCAATCCAGATCTTTCTCTGAGATTACGGGGTATATAACACATACCGCAGCCGCACGTGGGCTTGCACTTGATGACAGAAATCTATCTACATGGAGCATTCCGGCCTGATTCGTTCATTGTGAAGCAAATGGAGACGCCGAATGGTTCTCACTCACGTCCTTCATCTCGTCCAACATTACCTCATTAAACTCCTCCCATCCGTCCAAGTACAGATGATGTCCCGCCTTCTTGATAACAACCACTTTCGCCGATCCTTTATCTGCTTTCTGCTCTTCGACGGATGCATCTTTCAAAATCCGTTGCTTTTCTTGGTCGATTTTCTCCTTGGCTGCATGGCCACCTTGAGCATCCATCCAGTCATGTTCACCGTACATGAAGACAATAGGGATTCCGGGTTCTCGGCGTGGCGCAGTTTGTACAGAGAAAGAACTAGAGGAATCCGAGGCTGACGGGGCTGACGGTGCTGAAGAAGGTGGTGGCAGATCGGAACAAGAAAGGGAGGTAGATTCACTCGCAGAATCTGGCTTTGGTGATGGAGGGTTAACTTGGGGTGGGAGGAACTGACGTCCGACGCCATGGATACGTCGAATTACTGGGCTGCGGGCATATGCACCTGGGGCCAGGATATACGACAGTGCATATTCACCGCTACCACGGAGCCTAAAGAGCGAATACGCATAGTCGTGCAGCGCGCGAGCTTCGTCCTGAGGTAGGTGAGAAAATCGTCGAGACGTCCAGCCGGAAACAAGACGAGGACCAAGCGGACCAGACCATCTGACCAGACTGAATGGGGAGACATTGGCATCCCAGAGATACACGAGCCATTTTGGTATGGTCTTGGCTGGGGGCTTGGATATGTCGTTGTTGTCCACGCTCGCGGCGGCTCTCTTGTCTCTGGCATTCAAGAAATTGTTGTTATCGCCGACCTGAACTCCACCAGCTTGATCCTGGGTAAATTCGTTTGCGAGCGTCGACGAGGTCGGCTCCGGCACATCTGCATTTACGGCATATGGGTCCTCAGGGATGCCCACAGGGGATGCAAGAATAAGTTTATTGAGACGACCAGGGTATTTGAGCGCATAGGCAACGGCCAGGTAGCCTCCTAAGCTGTGTCCAAGTAGTGTGAACCGTTCTATTCTTCGCTTGACACGCCATTCTTCCAGTGCATCCACGAACCAGTCCTCTGCTTCTTTGATGGCCTTCTCTCGCTCTTTCGCTGCAATCCTGAAAGGTGGACGGGTGCTGCGACCCATTCCTAGCAAATCCAGGGCATACAGCTGCCAGCCTTTCGCTCGACTCAAAGCTTCAAAATTCTTGTAGAAGAAGCCCAAGCCTGCACCATATCCATGGAGAACCACCAGATTGTTTTCTACTTTCTCCCCAAGTCGTTCAACTGAGAACTCGTTCAACTCGCGATTCTTGCCGCTGAGCTCCACCATAGTAGACCTCCATCTTCGTGGACCGTAGGGATCATTCACCGAGTTCTCTGAAACCTGACCTGGCCGAGTATGGTCCGCAGAGGTTAACGTGTCAGTCTGTTCATTGGGCGTTGCAGGCTCTGTGCCGGTCTGCGTATGTGTCGGCGCTCGCTGAAGGTACGGGATGAAGGATAGCACTTTGTGTTCCGCAGCGGCGGCGGGAATACTCGCCCACTGTATATATATTATACAACACAGCTGTCAGCCCTGGAGCTATGACGTGGGAAACCAATTTGTCAAAAACGATGCAATGCGTTGGTTGGCGTTCATACCCATTGACTAAACCCCTCTTTGTAGCCCAGCGGAAAAAGCCGCGAGAGGGGAGCGGGAGGCCGTGCCTCTGGCCTCGTAGAAGCCAATGGAGCCTGCGGCTGACGGGTTTGCGTGTCCCCCGACGGCTGCGCTGCCGTGGCCGAAGTCATGACGGGATGGTACTGTGAAGTGGTCGTAGGTGAGGGGTGGGACTCCGCAATGGAGGATTCAAAGTGGACGTGAAACCGCAGGCTGCAACTCGCATTCAACCACGGCGGCGTAGCTAGAGGGAAGCCGGAAGCGAGATCGAAAAGCGGCCTGGATCGAGAGACCTGCAGCAGTGGTATGGCTGAAACTCGTCCCGGATACACGTTGAATATGGTCGACGGAGTGACAGCGGACGCCTGTCACTCGAGGTTGACGCTCTGATGGATTTCATACGAGTCGCAGCACAAGCGGAGAAAGCCAGCAATCTATAGTTGGAGGCCAAGTTAGTTTGCTTTTGCCCGACCTTTGGCCCGTTTCAGCCCCAGCCGGAGTTAAGCGTCGTTTGGAGATAACACGGGCTATGGTGGCAGGCAGCCCTTTTCTGTTGCGTCCAACGTGTCAGTGTGGCGATGGCGGACAGTTCGGTTGCGCCGAAGGGCGGCTTCGTCAAAGCGTCGTTAGGAACCGGGAGGCGAGTCGCTGCTAGAAAGGCAATTATTTAATGATTTACTACGGAGGACTCCGATAAAGATTGCAGAGCTTGCACGCCGTAGATAAATGCCGTGGTTCGAGCGTCAACGAGATAATAATGATGTGGTGCAGCCGGAACCAGAATCGGAGCTCGCTGGCTCTCCTCAACAAGTCTTCCGCACGGTGTGTTGAGCTCGAGACCAAATAAACACTGATCTGAACGGGATCGTTCTCTCCATACGTTAACCAATTAATCCCGCTAAACAAGCCATGCCTCTATGAAGACCATCGTCTCTCGTTCTCAGCTGGGCCACTAGAATGAATCAATACCCTCCTCTCAACCCCAATGTCTCGCCTTGACCAGATCGTCAAGGGCACTCCCTCCCCTGACGCACACGTCCCCGAGACTCTCTTCAGCACTCCCTCACCTAAGATCCTCGCCTCCTCTCCCGACACTTCCGATTCACGGCCGGCGACGGCGTCTGCAGCTCCCGACCCGCTCTCTACCCTCCCTTCCTCCCCGCCTCAGATCTACCTAAACCTCCTCATCCTCGAGACCTCTCTACGCTCGCAATACCTGGCGCTTCGTGCACGAAGAAGGCAGAACACGTTTTTCTTGCTGCTGCTCGCCCTGTGGATCGCTTACTTTTCGTACGTGCTCTTCTTACGCCCAAGAGAAGATGGAGGCGTGGGCGGTTCGGTGTACTGGATCGTGGAGATGGGTGAGAAAATTGCCCTGATGGGCGGTGTTGTGACGGGCATTCTCGTCTGGGGAACGGGACAGTGGGAGAGAGGTGTCCGATGGCCGCGCCGGTGGCTGGCGGTCGCCAACCGAGGGCTGCGAGGCTTCAATGCAAAAATTGTATTGATTCGCGGCCCATGGTGGAAGGAGATGCTCTCTTATCTATCGTTCCTATTCCCATTCGCAGACCTCTTCTCATCAGGCCCATCATTTCACTATGTTGAGCGCCGTCATACCGGAAGCCATGAACGGCACCGACGTCCTGCAGTGACGGGCCGTTCCTCTTATGAGGACGATAGCGATACAGGAATTGAGGAAGACCTCTCCCCTGGTGGTGACTACGTCAAACTACTCTTACTCCCGAAATCATTTTCCCCTGCCTTCCGCGAAAACTGGGATGAATACCGCACCGAATACTGGGAGCGCGAAAACGAACGTCGCGCCCGCCTCCGCCAGAAGCTCAAGCAGCGTGAGCGCCAACTCGCCAAACACGAAGGCGGCTGGTTCTGGTGGACCGGATGGCAAGGATTGAAGCGAAGACGCAGTCTCCCAAAGTCTGCCCATGATCTGGAAAGACCGCATCGTCATCTTCACCCTAACCACCACAGCCATCATCGCCACGTGCACTCACGGCATTCCCTGGGGGACTTGAAGCCTCGTCGCCCCACTGAACCACATTCGAGAACATCTTCTCGCAGCACCACGCCTAATCCACTATCGGATGCTGATGACAAGCTTGCAAACTCTGATCGGGAACGGACTCGTCGCCGCCGAAGCAGCAGCAGCGCAGCTACCTCTTCAAACGAACGACCTCGGAAAACCAAGTCGTCCTCGTCTGGAGCTGGGAACGGCAGCCGGTCCCTATCGCCATTAACACAAATTGAGTTGCAAGAGGGCAATGAAGACACTGCGAAAAATAGAATTTGACAGCACATCTTGTCCATATCATAACTCATACCGAAGTTCGTCTTGGTTTTTAGCAAGCATCGCTGTATCCATACCATACCCTGCTAAAAGATTTGAAAG